CAAAACTTACGAGATTGTATGTCTCGCATTTATATGTCGAAATATTAATGACGTCTACTTTTTATATGACTAGAATTTTGCTAAACTCTATATGTTAATGTAATAATCTTATATGTACGTAAATTATTATCAAAGCGATTCTGCATCGGCATGCTTATTTCTGACATTTTTTTAGTATACATACTGCTTCATGCAAAGATTTGATTTTTTTCGGAGTTTATTTATTTATTTCTCATTAAAATGAGATCATTCTCATATGTTCACACTAAATTAACTCAAAAAATTTTGTTCAAATTTTTTAAATTCATCAATAGTTATTATTTTTCATGTTCACACGTGCTTACCACTTATTTTATGATTATTCTATCCTTCAGTTTTTATTGCACTTCTAATGTAAGTACATAGGTGAATACTGAAGAAGTTCGTTTTATAGAATGAAGTCTGTATATTTGATTCTTATTTCTGAAAGAAAAAGAACTCTTGCGCATTCATATATGTTTACTAGGTGTGCTTTTTTCGAGTCCTTCTAAAATAGTTTTGCATGTATACGCGTGTGTTATCTATAAAAGTATTTTTATGTTTTCGTATGCAGCGATAATATTACGCGTGTATATTCGTAAATTCTCATGTATGTAATTACGAATACGGTTTACTTTGTGATATGTTTCCATCCAAGTTATGTCATAATGATTCATGCATGTACACACATTTTAATAAGTTTTCGCATTTGACTACATTCCTAAAGATGTTTATCAGATATATTGAACATATAGTATTGCAGTGAACAACTTTAAGTTGGTTTCAGAATAATTGATGGTCATGGATAATAGCATATGTCTGAAAATAACTTGTCCATCATGATATTATGCAATTGATTCAAGCTATATTCATCTATTGAATCATAGACATTTTTTATGTTTTTTTACTTATACATGATTATACTAAATAGTATCATATCTTAATCTCAATTGAAAAAGTAGCATAATCTGCTTCTGACGAGGGAAGGTCCCCAACTGTCCTCTCGCTTTCGAATCGGGTACATGCCCAAACAATAGACCTCAGTGAGTTATTAAACAACCTACAAGGGTTCGGTTGTCTAGGCCTCCTGAGCAGAGATATACATTTATTACTGTTACTAGTTTTGCTGTACTGTTGTACTAATATATATGATGTCTTGACTAAAAATACTCTGATCTGGTTCAAATTCATATCAGTGGTATGGTACTCAGTACTGATTAAGATCCTTGAGTTTGAAGATAAATCGATGCTTCTTATTGAAGATACGAATTTGTTTGATATACCAATTGATTATTAAAAAACAATATGTGGTATTCCTCAAAGATACAAGTATTGATTCATCTGATATTTCCAGCACACATTCATTTTATAGTTAGCATGCATGTGGAAATATCATCTCCTTTTTCGATGCTTCAGCTAATAAGAATCAGAAGAGTAAATTCGCATACTTTTCGCTATGGAACTGGTGCTGATATGATAAACTTAGTTTTCACAAAGATATCGATATATTAAACGCATATTCCACCACCCAAAATTCAATGTATTGTTTTACTTTATTACGTCATTCGTATATATCTTCAAACTCTAGAATCTTAATCAGTACTGAGTACCATACTACTGATATAAATTTGAACCAGATCAGAGTATTTTTAGTCAAGACATCATATATATTAGTACAGCAGTACAGCAAAACTAGTAACAGTAATAATTGTATATCTCTGCTCAGGAGGCCTAGACAACCGAACCCTTGTAGGGTGTTTAATAACTCACTGAGGTCTATTGTTTGGGCATGTACCCGATTCAAAAGCGAGGGGACAGTTGGGGACCTCCCCTCGTTAGATCTCAAATTTTCGGTTTTCAATTTCAAGGAAATTAATAATAACAATTTTAATACAACTTAAACTTTGAGTTATATTTTGAAACTTGTTGAAATTTTAGAGTTCACTAAAGATCGAGTTTCATTGTTTCAATTTAACGAGCCGTAATTTGTAGCGAGAGTGCTAAACTACAATAGTGCTTCGTTTATTTTTAATAACTGAAATTTATAGAGTTCACAAGATATTTACTTTCACTATTTGAATTTAGTGAGCTGTCATTTGTAGAGTGCGTTAAAATAAAGTAGTGCTTTTTTTCATACTGAATTAGTTGCAATATATAGTTCGCCCGACATAAGTGTTACTATGAATGCTATCAGCTATTTTTGATTTTGAACAAACCGTATTATTATGATGGTAAAATGGAATCAAAAATTGAATGGAAACGACTGATTAGGATGCAAAAGCGTTTACAAACAAAAATCAAAAATACAAATATGATGTTCTCGAAAAAAGACGACTTAGAAATATAGATGTTGATGATGATCTTCTCCTGACGACCACAGATCCATTCGCCCAGACCAATATGAGAAACGAATATCGAATTCTCACAATAAATTATGATAAATCTTCTTAAAAACTTCCTTTTGTCTTCAACTAAAATCGTTCTTAGTGCAGCCCAAATCAACGATTCTTGCTCGTGCATTATGAGTGTTAGTTTAACAATAATAAAAGAAAATAAAATCAGCTAGTACATTCTATTTTTGACTTTCATTAATATTCTTCACAGCTTGGTCCAGACGAAAATTTCAATTCAATCAAAACCTAACGTCCTCTACAAATTACAATAACTATCTGAAGCTTGAAAACTGTTTATTGTCAAAAAACTAATGTCATCTACAAATTGCAGCATCCTTTAAAAAAAATCACGCTTTATTAAAATCTTTTAGAACAATTTACTTTCAATATTCGTTCGCAGTAATCAAATTTTTAATAATTAAATGTAAATTTTATTTGTTTTACAAAAAACTAATAAAATTATCAAATTTAGGAGTGGATGAGTGTGACTATGGCAGAAAATAAGACACGCGTACACCCACCCACACGATTTATTTTCGTCATCTAGATTCTGCTCTTCAAATCGTTGTTGTCAACATATGAGGCAGATTAGCAAAGAAGGAGAATAATCGAAAAAGAAGATAGTATGCATTCGATGTGTATCTGACGACTCTTGAAGAAACACAAAAGAGATTAGGTACTAACATCGATATCACATTTTGAGTACGCAGAAAAACGACATAGACAAAGGATGTATATATAAAAAGTGGGAGTCAATTATTCTCATTTTTTGTCTCCTGCGCAAATCTCCTAGGAGAAATGACGAAAAACAACATGCACGAACGTGTGCATATTGCGTACTCAGAAAACATAACGGTATCGTAAAAAAAACTTACATAATTTCACTTGTCACGCGAAATCTGCAAAGCGTACCGTGAATTACCCGCTAGACCATGATGGCTTTGTATCCTGAGTGAAACCATATTAGCATTTTTGTACTTTGAGCGAAGCTGCATCAGGATTTTGGTCGTTTCCGATTTTGGTATTGTTCCACTAGCGGTTTTGTATTGTTTTAATAAGTTTCAAAGTACTCTTCAACGAAATCTTTACCTTACAAAAGAGTTTGGAACAGATTGTAGAACATTTGCAATTATCTTCGTGAGTCACTATGTTGCACAGTATCGAACAGAAATTTTAAGGCGCAAAACGAAACAATTTTTGGGTGGTGCCTACATTGGCTATCTTTTATTCATACAACCATAAACATGTGCAACTCTATTTTAGATGGCATATCGAAATCTGTATGTATGGAAATTCTGGTTAGTGTGTTCTATTTTATTGCCAACTATTACTACTGCTACCGCTGCAGATGTTGGACTTCAAACACGAAAAGGAATAATATATGGTCAAAAAACTCAATATTCAAATGAGTATTTGGGGTGAGAGAAAATTGAATGATTTCGAAACCACGTTAAAAGCGAATACGATGCCCTCGAACAAACCACACAAATAAATTGTAATTTAGGAAAACGAGATTTCCTGTTTCATGCAAGACTCGATAGATGAGAATTCATCTAGCAACAACGAGACTAAATCCTTGGACAATGTGAGTTTGAGTTTAAGTTTTTTTAGTTCGACTTATCTTCAAAAATTTTCGATTTTATACTTGATTGAGGCTCAGTGCTGTTTTCTGATTCACCAGTGTATTATTCATTCTACTTATTTTCTTATTCTAATATCTCTCTTTCTTTTATCATCGCTCATAGCATGGTAGTTCCGTTCGAATATGAAATGTCCAATTGATCTAATTATATACTCGATACTGCTTTTCGAGTCTAGAGTTTTCATGAATATGCAGACGGAAGTTGCTATCTTTGGGATTTGCATTGCACAGTACTTAGTCTTTTGAATAAGTTCTGTCTTTTCAGTTCTATTCAGATTTATAAGACTTGATTAATAGTAGCGATCTGTCTGTGTTGTCATTTAATCATCATGCTAAATAAACAGGATGCTATCTCGAAAAAGACGAATCTTCAAATTTTTGTGAACAACGTGAAATAAAATTATGCCATCTGTGAAAATTGTTGAACATTTTTGAAATAAAAGCCTCTAAACAAAACAAATGTCATGAAAGCGCACGTGATCGGTTGTGAATTACTTAGGGTGATCCAAAAGTAGTGACGGAGGTACTTATTTTTCTTATAGATAGCTTAAAAAGAGTTTCTTTTTTTATGAACAGATAGAGCGTCGTTCACTCTATTTTTCTATGCCATTTGGTCGCTATGCAACTAATATTATGATAGTGAAATATCCATAAGAACTGTTTTTGTCGAAAACCCGCTGGTAATATTAGATTATAATGACTGTGGCACTTTTGCAACCCACTTTAGTATCACTTAATGCGTTTTATTAAAAAAAAACGAAATATACCAGAAGATGCGGCGTGAAAAGCTCTACAGTTTACGAAGGATCGCTAATTTTATAGTTCTACTTTTTGTTTTCAAAATGGACAAAATTCTGAGCAACCAAATTTTGTCGTTGCAGAAGCAAAATTGTTTTTTGGCAAAAAACGAATCCGGTTTTTCCTATCTCATTTTTTCATTACCTAATATGTTTTATTTTAAAAAACAAAATACACTACAAGATGCAGCGTAAAAAGCTCTACAATCTACAAAGAACAATTTGTAAAACAATGAGATAGAAAAAAATCAAATTCTTCTTTTACCAAAACCAGTCTTGTTTTCGCAATGTCGAAATTGGGTTCCTCTGAATTTTGTCGATTTTGAAAACAAAAAGTGGAACTATAAAGTATGTGAAAAGTGAGAGGAATTACTTATCAGTAATTTGACTCTCACTCGTAATATCATATTTTCTAGAATCCAATATGCTAAAGCGGACCGATGGAAACCACCGATTGATCTTGCATCGGAAATATTTCCACATGGTTCATTTCAAGCAAAGTCATTCGGCCCATGTTGTCCTCAATCAGATGCTGGAGTCTTTATACCTATGCAAGATGAACAATGTCTCTATCTCAACATTTATACACCATTGAATACAACAAATCAATCTTTATTACCGGTTCTTGTTTGGATTCATGGAGGTGGTCTTCAAGTTGGCTGTTCATCTCAAAGTATTCCTGTCTTATACAATGGCACAAATATAATTGCTAATTCGCCTCCACAACAACCAGTCATTGTCGTAACAATTAACTATCGATTAAGCGTATTAGGCGATATGTACTTGACAGAATTGACCCAAGAAAATCCGACAATATGGCCGACAGCTGGCAACTATTATTATCTGGACATGCTATCAGCATTACGTTGGATCAATATGAATGTTCGTGATTATGGTGGCAATCCTAACAATATTTTACTATTCGGAGAGAGTTCTGGAGCCAATGCTGTTATTGACATTGGTGCATTAAAAGGGTCATCGAATCTCTATCAACATGTTATATCACAATCAGGTGGAGCTGGATATCATATCTATTATTCAAATATAAGCGATGCTATGAAAGAATCTAACAAGATTGTTGAACAAATGAATTGTACAAATGACAAAAGTCAAGCTGACTTGACATGTTTGCGTAATTCTTCGATTCCCGCTTTAATTACTGCTTATGGTATTCGTCAAACAAAAGTAATTATTGATGGGTACTTTTTACCATTTTATCCACCGTTAGCAATTAACAAGGGAACATACAATCAAGATATAAGTATGATGATAGGTCGTAATGAATATGAATCTCCAATGTGTTTTTCCAATCCTGATATGGATTCTACTACTGCTATAGCACTCGTCACTCAGGGTGTGGGACAAAAATGGGCGCATGTATTTGTTAATGATTTTCAATTGAAGAACTGCTCGGCAAATAGAAACGCTACAAATCGTTGCTGTGATATAGCCCGTTTATTCTTCACGGATTTAGTTCTTGATTGTAGCGCTCGTCGTATATACGATAATTTATATCTGAAATATGAAGAACAAAAGCAGCAAAAATTATTTTGGTATCATTTCGATTGTAATCCTGGAATATGTCCACCGAAGTCAATAGAAGACGGTAGTGGCCTATGCCTCCATGCAGCAGAAATTCCATTTGTATTTGGAACCATGAGCGATATGTATTCGAGGAATTTACATAACTGTACATGGGACAATGAAACAAAGACATTTTCTAATCAAGTAATCTCACATTGGATCAATATGGCTACAGTAGGAGAACCATTAAAAGAATGGCCAAATTATAATCCATCATCACCAAAATATTTTCAGATTACACCTTATCATGACTTTGCACCTTTGTCATCGATTAGAGATTGTTCACTAATTGATCAATTTGAACAGGAGAGAATCATGCTCATGTTCGAAAATTCCGAAAATCACTGCTCGCGGAACTATGGAAATACAAATATTATGATTTTCTTCGTCATGTTCTTATCTATGTTTAGCGCTGACTATAGCCGTCATTGTTTTTAAAGAAGGACTCAGTTTTCTGACTTCTCTTTGCATTATAATCAACATTATCACTTAATAAATAGACATGCATCTCATAACAGTACTTATGACACTCATTTGCAATACCAATGGAAAACCATAGCATTTCTTATGATATACCATCGATTTAAGGATAGAGCTGAGCCTTTACTTTTACGATAGTACCACAAAACTGAACACCCGCCCTAAAAATGTCAAAATTTCAAAAGTACCGAAAAAGTAAGTACCGTCTAGCGATAGCCACAAGCCGGTACTTACGTTTCTGGTACTTCTGAAATTCTGAAGCGGTGAGTCCCTCAGTACACTGTAAAGAGAAGCGTATGATAATAAACCCTTGAAGGGTTTCTCACGAGAAAACGTTTTCAACTGTCAAATCCCTTTTGAGTTCAGACTTTGTGCATAAGATAAATCTTAGTGAGTCATTAAGAGGGTGTAGGTGGGTGTGTGTGGTATTGGTACTGTTTTTATTGAACCCACACCCACACCCACACCCACATTATGACAACGTGGATGTGTTACACATTCATGTTCAGGTTCCCAACATGTTCGATTATCAGCTGCACATGCGTTCAATTCAGAGCATTCGACATACAGATATGAACACATACCGTCATTATGCATATGAGCCGACTGAAGACAACCACATGCAATATTGGATGAACATTGGTCAATAAAGAAAAGCGTTTTGACATGTTTGAGTTTCGACTCGAGTTACTTAATCAATGTAAAATAAGATTCACAAATGAAAAGGATGAAATTTACCTGAAAAACTAAAAATGAGCAAAAGTTTATCCTACTTTAAAAATAATGGAAAGTTATTACTCACTTGAATACCACCCATAAAAACAAAAGATATGTTGCCCACACCATTTTCACTTTTTTTGCATTCGATATTTCTTATATGCGTATGAATCTGCATTAATGTAGATGACGATGATGGGAATGAAAACATATGTTAAAGAGTGGACCTTTTTTCTATTATTCTATGTTTTATATTTTAAAAAGAAGGTGGGTAAGAGGATACCCACTAATTAACAGTATACTAGAGAACACAATACAAATATAATCGAAGAACAATCGAGAGTAAACAGAACAAAAAAAACAAATCTTATATGCAAAGATAAAATGCATTTTATTAGAAATTCGGTATTTGAACAGGTGTATCAATTAATTCTTAAATACTCTAGTTTTTATCAGTGCAATAGCTGTGAAGTACTCTTTCTATGTCGAATCATCATGGAACAGTGACTTTATCTAACCACTTCAATTTTTAATATCACTGGACTACAAAACGATGATCGGATAACTGGTGAAACTCTCACGAAATTTTTAGTGTCACAATGCGAAAGTACATGAGATCGAGTAAAGAGTAATTCAACTTGTCGAACTAGAAACAAATGTATTTTAAGCATGCTTCAAAAACTATCATTGAACGTGTTAGATCTTTTTTCCTTTTTCTTTTATTACTATTCTTATGATCCCGATTCCAAAAAAAACAAAAAAGCAATAAAATATGTGTTTCTCTCTCTCTTATTCCATTCTATACCTCCTCCTTATATGCAGCATAAAATACCATAGAAAGAAGAGGAAGAATGCCAATAACATGATACGATGATACTAGAAGAACAGAGAGAACCTTCTTATGTCAGAAGATGTCTCTCCTGACATAACAGAACGTATCTACGAATATCGAAAATTCGAAGAATAAGATATTGTTCTAAAACAACAAGACATAACAGGCGAGCATGCATTGAACAATGACAGAAAATTTAGATTATGCATCTCATGAATGAATTGTGAAGTCAGATTGTTTGTTAGATTTATGCATATGAGCTGAAAATGTGGTTTCATTTGAAAAAATTGCTTTTCAATCAACTAGTAAGCTTAGAGTAAAGGGCGATAGACTCAAAAATCTATGTGTTATTTGAGTTATATTGAATATGAAACAGGGTGTGTGTGGGTGTGGATGTGGGTGTGGACGTGAGTGTGGATGTTGGTATAATTCTTTTCTTAACACACACCCACACCCTAGGTCTTCTCTTTACTCACATCCACACCCTCAAGAATTCAGTGAATCTCTCTATTCAGTATGACCGATGTGAGATATTGTCATCGGTTTTGTTACTAGTGTTCTTTAAATGCTCTATGACTTTAAAAAGGTATTGTCACGAGCAATTTTCGTCGATGCAATCTTAATGTCAACTACAATGACAAAGCAGTAAGGGTGAATTCATGGTTTTTAATGTTCTGTATGAGATATGAGATAAGATTTTTTTACACAATCATCGTTCTCCTTCTCTATTTCTGTTTCATAAACGATTCTGCAGCATTTTTGTGTGCCTGTGAATAACTAAAAATGAAACTTGTTCTTCCTTTTCTGGTACTGGTTGTCGCTCGTGTATGTGGTGTTGATGGAGCATATGCTCATGCAGATATGTATCTCGCAGGAACAAATGATTTTATTGGAACGATTAACTTTTATGAAGGGCAAGAAGCTTGGGGCGTTGTCATCACTGGTTCCGTTAGTCGTCTACGACCTCTAGCAACATTGGTAAGTCTATGTTTTGAAGAAAAAAGCGTCAATTCAATATATTTCATTAAAGTGTAGCATTTTACAATGATTCTTTATCTTTCCATAGAAACAATGAGAGATTATTATAAAATCATCCTTCCCTTTCCGAAAATATCCACATTGGAAATTCTCTTGTTCAATAGCAAACTGCTAGGTATATAGTGATTGTATTATTACGCTGTACTGTTAACTTTGAAACCAAATATATTTAAAAATTCTGAAAACGGCAAGTATTGTAAACTTTTAACATAAGAAGATTTTTCCACCTAGCTTTCTGACTCATCTCGGTTAAATCAGCAATAGTCCGTTTTAGAGTGTATTGAAATGCTATTTCTAGCAGTCGTATATCTGTTATATTGTCCTTTAACCACAAGCCCGCACTGTAAACTCAATGAAATAGAAGCAACAGAAGCTTACTGATTATAAAAAAAAAAACTTTTTTAAACGTCAGTACAACAGAATGTTTGAGATGAAAATACACATTCTTGAATCGATTCATCAGAACTATACAATACCGAAATTTGTTCTTCAACAATCGTGATAAGAACTCTCAATGAAATAAATTTCTATTAGGGTTTTCATGTCCATTCTTTACCCATCGGAGACAATCATAATTGTACAGCTGGTGGTGCTCATTTCAATCCCTACAGTAAGTTTAGGTCTCTATAATAGTGTAATGATCTTCACACTTTATCTATCATGGTAGATGTATCTCATGGGATGCAGGAAGATTCAGTTTTGGAACGACATGTAGGAGATCTAGGCAATATTGAAGTAGATGCTGATGGTATAGCCCATGTTGGAATATGTGATTGGGTTATTTCGCTTGGATTCAATAAGACAAGAAATGTTATTGATTTACCTCTTATGATCCACAATTTGACAGACGATGGAGGTCACACTGGTCAAGGTGAAAGTAACATGACTGGGTAAGTATTTATATACCGAATTGTCATTTTTCTTTATTGATATTTTCATCGAATTCTTAGAAATGCTGGTCCTCGTATAGCATGTGGAACAATACGTCTTGTTTAAATAATGTCTTTTCATCCTGTATCTGTCTATCAAAGCTTTTTCTAAATTTGTTTTTCTTTTTAATAATCGTTACTTGATTTGAAATAATAATGATGATGATTTTCTGAAACGCGGGACTATTGGCGAAATAATCAGCGTGCAATTATTTATAAATGTACACTTAGCTCCGAGTAATGCGATGAAAATATGCATGCACTAAACTATTAGAAAAGTCAGAATGTTTCCATTTAAAAGACCAGGGTGTGGGTGGGTGTGGGTGTGGAGTGTGGGTGTAGGTGCGTTCTTTTCCTGTACACACCCACACCCACATCCAGACCCAAATCCACACCCACACCCACACTCACACCCATACCCACGCCCACACCCGCACCCGCACCCACACCCACCCACACCCACACCCACAGACCCATACTCCACCCACAACCACGCACACACTGGCACCCCACACCCACTCACCTGCACCCACACCGACACCGCTCATACATCTTGTTTATCATCCGGTAGGTCAAGCGACTCTTTGGCTAGTAAGTAACAACTTATTAGTTCCTATGGCTGAATTGTGGTTTTTATTGTGAAGATTTTATTGACTTTTTTATTAGAAATAAATGTCTATTGGTATCGTTTATTTGTTTTGAATTTCTTAACCCTAGTACTGCCAAGGGTGTAACTTTTGATCCCCTCAGATCTCAGCCATCATAATGACTGAAGTACTGAAAATTTGTCTGCACGTATTTCACCAGGTACATAGGTTAAAAGCACTCATCAAACATTCATTACATGAGATATTGAAAACTTTAAAAGAAAAAACTAAAATTTTTACTTTAGTTCTGACACAATGGAAAATTTAATGTTGCTGTTTTTCCATAGTGACAAGGCTAATTCTTGATGTTTTTTCATAAATATCAAGCCAGGCTTATGCTTTTCATTTAGCTAAAAGATGAGCTCATTAGCTCTAATATTGAGGGTCTGTGATCCGTGCGCAATGACATGATGATCATTAGTGTGCTACTTCTCTCTTCCATGAGATTCATTTCTCAAACTTCCACAAAACAATGATCAACTATGGAGGAAGCGTCTCTAAAAGTTCTATGTTGATTCATTGACCTATCACTGAGTTATAGGTCTCTGAAGGGAATTAGATGCATTTTCTGCACATTGATGGTTGCAGTACAATGGTCTTAGCTCTTGAATGGTTGATGAACTTCAATGAAATTTGTATGCAGACAGTTGGAACATAATGCTACATGATGATGGGTCGACCGACCCAAAAGCTTGTTCCTTTCCAAAGTTATGAATCTCAAAGCAAAAATGGGTACCGTCCATCATAACTTCCTTTCTATTCAAGTAATCTGGTGCGATTGATATCCCTAACCTA